GATCTATATATCTGTCCTCTCTCACTGGAACTCCAGTCCCATATCACTTAACAGTCTTTTAGACATTTCTAAGTAAATGTCTTGGATATATTTCAAAGTCAGTATTTTCAAACAGATCTCATTATCTTTCTACTGTACCCCCTCCCTTCCTAAATCCCCAACCAACCCTTCTGTCACCCAGGTTCCCAACCTTGCAGTCAACCTCTATCCTCTTTCCTTTATTTCTCATATCAAATCAGTTGCCAAACATTGCCAATTCTACCTCCACAATATATTTCATATCCATTTTCTTTTCTCTACTCACATAGCCACTGTCCTAGTTAAGGTCCTCATTATCTCTTGCTTGTCCTATTAGAACAGCATACATTAATTTCTCTTTACCTCAAGTCTCTCTTCTCTCCAATCTGTCCTTCCCACAGCTGCCAGATTGATACTTCTAAAATACAGGTCTGAGTAGGTTACTCCCCTGCTCAGGAAACTTCACTGGCTATCTCTTATGTATGACTTTTATAGTTTGTAACAATCTGGTTCCAACCTACCCTTCCGGATTTATTGCACATTACTTTCTCTCATGATCTCTTATATTCCAATCAAACCAGAGTACTTGCTGTTCCTATAGCCAGCCCTCCATCTTCTTTATCTATGTCTTTGTATAGGTGATCAGCTCCCTATGCCAAGAATGCACTCTCTCCCACCTCTGCCTCATCCAATCCATAGCTTCCTTTAAAGTTCAGTTCAAGTACCATTTCCTACAGGCATTCCCAACAGATCACCACTCCCTTCCTGCGGTTACTTGAACCTACCACCCTGGAAATTACTGTTTATTTATTGGAAGTAGTTTCTTTCTCACCTCAGATTAATTATAGAAAGTCTTATATGTAATCATAACATATGAAGGCCATAGTAAGGAAGATCGTACAACCTCATAACAAATGTGGTTAACTCCTTACTCAGTTTGAAAGGATGATATGGTTTTGGCCATTGAATGAAGGTGAGTGGTACCACACAGGAAAAATCTTGTACTTGGCTGAGACAAGTCCTATTCCTCTCAAAGAAACAATTCATTAAGAGGTGGAGGACTCTGGAATGCTTTGTGGTGGCAGGTGACAACATGGACCAGAGGGCAGAAAGGGATTTTTTTCTTTTTCTCACTCTCTAACCACATCCCTATCAGTCAAGTCATCAGAGAGACTGGGACAATAGAAAACAAAGCACCTAAGATCACCTCAGTTATCAGTTCTTCAGGCTTCAGCAGCCAAGCAGATTTTTTCATCATCCTATTATTATAAACCCCTCAGCTATGCATGGCCAGAGAGCTGGAATATGATGAAGGTACTGCCATCTTTTTTTTTTTTCAACCAGAGACAAGGTTTATTAGAACATTTGTCATATTGGGCAGACTCTTAAGGAGTCTGAATGTTAGTGAGGTATTGGCTAGATTGACTAGAATCTGAGCATCTTAATGGAGACAAGATGGACCTTACATACAGAAAGACAATGGGATGGATCTAGGAGTGGCCAAGTAGTCTATGAGGTAATAGATTTCTTGGGACCTGGATCAGTAGGCCAAGAGAGAACGGAGCCTAGATAGGATTAAGTGTGGGAAGTGGCTTGGGGCCATAGAGAGGTAAGACAATGGAGGGCTAGGTTAAGACTAACAGAATTGGGAGATTGGATATAGCCAAACGCCAGAGATTTGGCCACGTGGGAAAGTCCAGGGTTTTTCCTTTTTGGGGTCTAAATCCCATCCTCATCGTTCCCCCCTCAAACAAATGGGACCCAAATTCTTTTGGGTAAAGGGTAAAGGTCTTGGCTTCTGAAACTGCTTCCTGCTGCCAAAGGGTGTAGAGTTGTTCCTGCCTCGAGGAGCTCCCAAAGAGGAGGTTGACTGGAACTGAGCCCAGGCTGCATCCAGGGAATGATGGGGGGACAGTGGCTGGTCCCCACTGTTTGCTACCAACTGTAGGTGAATGGCCTGTAGTCTGGAAGACACAAATCTGACAGAAAAGGCTGCAGGGCCCAGATATAGGGAGAAATAAAAGTGCTAAGAGTGTAAGAGCCCCATTAAAATAATTTACATTTGATCTGTAGGATTATCTGATCTTGTTACTGTCTCTAAAGTTTAAGTAACACCTTTGCAGACAAGTTTTCCACCCTTGCAGCACCAAATCCACCTCATTACCAGACTCAGGAATAGCCAGGTGGGTAACATTCCTTTTCAAAGGAACATAATGGGGAAACTGAGCCAGGAGGATTCCATCTTAGACTGAGGCTAAAATTGTCTTCTCAGCTTTTCCTGATGCTGACTTCCCATCAATATCATATTCTCTGAGTAGCTTGTGGAACTTCTCTCAGATGGTTATTATCTGATATTATGATTATTGATGGATTATGATCCATCAGACAACTCAAAATAAAATCCTATGAGCTTTTACCTCAAACAGCAAGTTTCACTAATCACAGCTTAGGAAATACTTTTCCAGGATTTACATCTCAAACTTAAATTTGTCCTGGTGTAAAAAGTCAATCATTAGAGATTTCTATACACTTGCAAATTCTCAGCAAGCCACACTAACCTAAACAAGCTTTTTAGCAAGTTTACACATTAAAACAATAACCAATAACAGCCAAATTATTTTAGCAGTAACCAAATTATGAAAAGTTGCTTGACATAACTGATACAAAAAGTTTACTAATTTGAAACTTGAAACAAACCCATTACCAATCAGGTGACTTCAATTTTGTTAAATGCATTTCCAAATTATTTTACACAGAGAATCAACATCTCATCATTAACAGTTAAAACTACAAATTTAGAAAAGCGAGCTTACTCAAGTCCAGAGGCTAGCTTCTTTATGTTGAGCAGGATGTGCTGAACCTGGGTGATGCTTCCAGGCAAAGGTTGCCTTAGGGGCCAAAGCCATTACCAGGGGGATCCATGCTGTAGCTGCTGCCCCCTCTCTCCTCCTTTCTTTCCCAGGCAGGGGAGGGCGAAATCAAAGGGGAGGGGTAAAGGGTGAAACTCACCTCTCCTTTGAGAGAGTTAACAGATACCCTCTTGACTCAAGGGAAGGGAGTGGGAGAAAGGAGTGACCAGGGTTGTAAGGAGTTTCAAAACTCCTTAATGATCAATCACAAAACCTCCAGAACCTGCCAAGATATTTTTAGCTGTTCTAACTTTTCCCTGTAACCTCCAAGAAGGAGGATTCAGGTGTGTAGAGGGCAGGGAGTAAATAAGCTTCAAGGAACCAAAAAGCAACTGCAGTTTTCCCCAATTCCCTAGCGCCAAGAGAATTGACAGAATTGGGCATACACTTCCAGATAGGGCGTCTGTCCTCATCCTCTATGCTGCAGAAGGTGTACCCAGGTCCATGGCTTCAAACCAACCCAGTGGACCTATAGACTGAGAGCATTAGAGGGAGTTCGAGACAGTCTCATAACTGTCTACCCTAAAAGCACCTCCAAGCCTTGTTGCTTGGAGAGCGACCCCAACTGCAGAGCAAGAAAGGAGGCAGGGAGGCAAGACTTGCATACCTTCCAATCTTGGCTGGAGAAGAACTTGGGCTTAGGCAGTTTCCCCATAGGGGTAACCAAAATGTTGAGAATTAGAGATTTAGAGGTTCTGGGACCCCAAAATCACAACACATGGGTCCTGCCTGGAAGAATTCAACCCAAGCCTTCTTTCAGCCAAAGACAAGGTTTATTAGAACATCCATCATATTGGGCAGACTCTTAAGGAGTCTGAACACTAGTAAGCTATTGGCTAGATTCTAAGAATCTTAACAGTGGCTAGATTCTAAGAATCTGAGCCTACTGCCTTCTTTACATTCCGGCTTTTCCCCAGCATCTTTCTCTCTTCGTGGACTTTTACCTAAAGAGAATCTGGAAAGGTGAGCCTTTTCTCTTGAAGCTGAAAGCCAAAAGACCAAAGATCAAGTTCTCTGCTATTTTCATCTCTACCCCTCACACAGGCAGAGTATAGAGTAATAATAAAATAATGATAACTAACATTTATATAGCACTTTATGATTTACAAGGGGCTGGACATATTTATCTCATTTGTTCAATTTTCCAGAGAGAAGAATCTTATGCAAATAGCCTTTGAGCCCTTTATTACATGTTTAGGCTCAGTTGTAGTCCGTCCCTATTATATTTATATCCTCATTACCTAGTCCAGTGACTTCACGAGTTAAGACACAGAAATGCTTGAATTGGCATAGCTAATGAGATCTATCTACATGAGCTACCTGTTTACTAACCCAGAACACAGGTTACTGGCTTCAACATACATCGTGAAGGTTTTAGGTTATGTTTCAGATAGAAAGGGATAGGTAATTTTAAGGGAGCAATATAATACTCATTGCTTTTTTGTTTTTTTGTTTTTTTAAAGAGGACCAGCTCTCATGTAGCAGGTGGATGATGAGTAGTTCTTTGCCAGCGAACTGATGGAGAAGGCACAAAGCAAGCGGGAAACGTGAGGTGGAAAACAAAATGCCACTTATAACATATTATACACCAGTCTTTGTTCACTCTCCCGAAAAATGGAGGCACCTGCTAGGTCTTTTAGGACAACAATACTCTAACTCTTTGGGTTCTAACGTTAGTTTCTATTGTTTTTTCTATTGCATCCAAATTGCTTTTGCTTTTGGGTATTTGATTACGGAGGAGTCCCACTAACTTAACATGACAGCCAGAACATGCCACTATATATTTGCTTGGTTAGAGGTAGCGTCAGCTGCATTCAGATCACGTCAACTGAGGGGAAAGGGGGGCCGGAAGGCGTCGGAGGGCGGCAACCGCTTTTGACGATGATGATTGGCCGAAAACCAAGGTTTGATCTATAGGCGCACCAGCCAATGGACCTTGAGTAGCTACGCCGTGTTTACGGAGAATCAGCCAGTGGATAGGCAGGAGAGAGACTGAGGGCCAATGAGGACTGGGAACTGGCGGGAGTAGGGGCGGTGCTTCTAGCAATGGGGCGGGGAGCTGGGCAAAGGGGCAGTAGCTGGGCTGAGAGGAATTAGTGACACATCCGGCGTTGAGAGGAGTAGGTGGTGTGAGTGGCAGGTGAGGAAATGTGCCCTGGATATGGTCTGAGAGGGGAATATGGAGAACTCTTGGGGAGAGGCAAAGGAGTCCACTGCGCAGTCGTTGTGTTTTTTTTTTTTGTTTATTGTTTGTTTGTTTTTTTAATCGGAGTGTTGTCCTCAGTTTGCTGATATACCTCACCTGCTCGGCGGGGAGGCCTACCCAGCTGTGAGGCTTCGGGGAGGGAGAAGACGAGAGAGTTGCGCGTGCGCCGTTGCGTGTGGTAGAAATGGAAGAAGGGGAAGGAGGGACGCGCCCCTCACCGCCCATCCCCTCGGCCAACTCGCGGACTCGAGGTCCCCTTCTTCCCACCTCATCTACTCTCGGGTCCTATTCGGGAAAGGGGGAGTAGTAATTTCTCCAGGGTCCTTCTTGCTTTACCCCCTTTGAGACGGGGTGCGGCCATCTCGGTTCGTCATAATTGAAAGCGAAACCAGGGGTCCCAAACTGTCCCTTCGGTGGCCATGGAACCCCCTTGGGGGGCGCGTTATGAGGTTGTAGGGGGAGAGACGGGGACGGCAATGAGGGTGGGCGTGGGCGGCTCCCCGCTGGGCCGGGGCCTAAGCCTGGGCTCGGACGGACTGGAGCTGCTCTGTCATGGTGGAGGGGCGAGTGATGTCACATCCTCCTCTGTGACACCCAGGCTTCCTTGGTAACTTGGAAGCCAAGGCGGGTGGCGGGTAATAAATACAAGACCGGGCCGTTGGCCCAGCGTCCTGGGGCCCAAAGGGCAGCCCCGACCTAGCAGAATTGGCTACCTTTGGACAGGTGAGAGGTCCCGACCTTCCCTCTGTTGTGCTTCCCCGGATCATGAGATCATCATTTCAAGAAAGTTTAGTGCCTGCTGGAGGTGTGGCCATGAAGAGGGTTTGTTGGGTTGCGTTTCTTTACCACTCCACATTGACCTATTGCCCATCCCCCACCCCCTTAAAAGCTCTTTGATATCTTGTTCTTGAAATAGCGTAATGGGGAAGTTTAATCAAGCAGAAGAGGTAACTGAGTCACAATCAAGCTTGATTTTAAGATAGAAAATAGGTTTTTCTGGTTACTTATTGATTTTTTTTTTAGACTTACTGCTCATCTTGTATTGTTAACCTCCTGAATTGTTAACCATCCCATAAGAAGAAAGGTGACCCAAGCAGCCTTTGAAGCTAGAAAGATCTATTTGGGGTCACAGTGGAAAGCTTAGACTTGGGGTCAGAAAACCTGAATACTGTTTACTACTATGACCTGTTTACCATTTGTAAAATGATAATAATATTAATGCCTACTTCAGAATTATGTTGAGGAAATCTTCATAAGCTACAAAGGACTATATCAGTGTAAGCTGTTTGAACTTTTTAGTCTTATTTTTAGAGTATTGGGCCTAGAGTCAGAAAGACCTGAGTTCAGGTTTGGCCTCAGACACTTCCTGTGTGACCCTTGGGCAAATCAGCACTTCTGTTTGCCCTAGTTTCTAATCTGTAAAATGGGGATAATAACAGTACCTATCTCTCAGGGTTGTTATGAGGATCAAATGAGATAATAATTGTAAAGTGCTTAGCGTAGTGCCTGGCACATAGTAAGTACTATATAAATCCTAATATTATTATTTCATGAATATTTTGAAATTATTTTGTCATTTTCTTTTGTTGTGTGCTTTACAGAAGCTAACATTTACAGCTTACAAGGTTCCTTTAATCTTCATTTGATTACATAATAAGTTCTTTCCTCAGCCCTGAAGTCAGTAGCATAAGAATTATCTTCTTTCTACAGAGGAGAAATTTGAGTTTGAGAGGTTCTACAGACATATATCCAATTCAGCCCTTGAAATGCAGTTTGTAATTCCAGTCAACCATTTTTCATCCTGTGGTGGAAATCTATCAGAGAACCTTCTTTCTCTGCCTTCTTTCTTGTTGTGGCTATTTTGCAGCCTTCTTCCCTTAAAAGAAGACTAGAAAAAGTGAGGCAGCTTGGTATGATAGAAAGAGCACCAGACACACTGATGTACTTGTGGTAGAGTTATTAATTGGTCTAATCCAATGAACAATTTTGGAAGTATATTTAAAAATTAACTAAACCGTACCACCCATTTGACCCAGCAAGATTACAAGTCATGTTCCTCATAATGTACAAAAGTATAAATAACAGCTTTTTATGGTAACGTGGCTTTTGAAGCACAGTAGGAGAATGGCTGAACAAATTGTCTCTGAATGTAATGTAATATTGTACCATAAGAAATGGTGATTGACGAATTCAGAGAAAGTTGGGAAGAGTTGTATGAATTGATGCAAAGTAAGCAGAACCAGGAAAGCAATTTATATAATGACCATAGTAAAGTAAATTAAAACAGTATTTGAAAGACTTCAGAACTCTGATCAATGCATGAATTCAGAAGTCTGCTGGTGCAAAACATGCTTCTTGTCTCTTGGCAAAGGTAGTAGACATAAAGGGCAAAATGAATACATGTATTATTAATTGGTTTTGCTTGGTTGTACTTTTCTTGTAAGGCAAGATTCTTTTAGGGTTAATGGGGTCATTTGAAAATGACAGCGATATAAATCCTATGACTTGGACCAGAAGAGACCACCTCTGACACTTCCTTGTGTGTGACCATGATCAAATCACTTAAACTGCTTAGTTTTAATTTGTTCTTCTGTAGAATTAGGACAGTATTTGTTGTAATAAATAAAATAATGTGTGGAAAGTGCTTAGCAAACTTTAAAATGCCAGAGCTGGAAGGAAGCTAAATGTTAACTATTAATAAAAGTGAAATGAATTGAAATGTCACAGTTCTTGTTAGCACTCAGATTTTCCTAAAATTACCAACGAGTTTTTTATGTAGTTTTATTTAGGTTCTCATTTATTGATGGGTGTACACTTGAAATGTTAAACTGTTTATTTTCAAACAAAAAATGTCAAACAAACAGCATTGTTTATCAGCTAAGGGTTAACCTATTGATATGACAGCCTATATCCCTACTATTCCATGGATGGAACCTGAAGAGTTTCATTTGATTTCGTAAACCACTCAAGGGGATTATTCTACCTCTGGGAAAAACTGTAAAGTGTAGGACAAATGAGAGGGATTATGGGGGAGGGGAAGGGAGGGCAGGGGCAGCTTAGTGTAGTGGATAGAGAGCTGGTCAGGAAAACCTGTGTTCAAGTGTCACCTGTAATACATACTAGCTCATGATTTTGGGTAAATCACTTAACCCTTCTGTGCTCCAGGCAATTCTGAGATTATAAATTGCAGAGAAGGTGTTAATCTGCTTTGGTAGCTGCCTACACTGATGAAATCATAGGTCTGTTAATAAATATTAAACTCTTTTATGCCAATCTTATTGTTTATTATTTTAAAATTTAAAATTAAAATTTTAAAATTATATTAAAAAATGGATTTTAAAATTCCATTTTCAACAGAAATAATTGTTCTTTCTCTGAAAATTTTTCTCTTCTAGTTTCACTTTAATAGAGAATATGGTGGAAGTGGGTAAAAATGAATTTTGTTACAGTATTTTAGCTTACTTTCATGAACCCTTTCCCCCAGATTTTCAATTTTTACATGCAATTTTTTTATTTGTAAGTCTAGATGAAGATAGGGTGAGAGAGGGATTGTTTGATTGATTATTGGAGCACAGCCTCTGAAGGTAGATATCCTGAGTGGTCAGCTTCAATAAAAGCAGCTCTGGTACTCCTAAGGCCATATACAGGATGTATGACTTGCTTTGAAACTTACTGCTATTTGTCCTTTGTTCTGGAAGAGGACCATGACATCAGGAAGGTGATGCCATGACATGCAGGTGAATTTGATTTAAGTGAGAAAGGGCTGTGCAAAGTCACCAACCTTACTTTCTCCTCTGGAGCCATCTGGGTCCAGTGACCAGATATGGATCAAGACAACTGGAGAGGGCCTGGGATGCAGTGGGGGACTTTGGCCTTTTCAAGCTAAGGTCTTTAACAGGTCTCAGTTTGACTGAGGCAGCACCCATTCAATGATGAAAACTTAATAAAATGAGGCAAAGAATGACCTCTTTAAAAAAAAATGCACATGCAGGGTGAACTTCTCCCCCACCTCCCTCCCGAATCTTTGACTAAATTAAGCCTTTAGAGCCATTCTAGTGTAAACCAGAGCATTGACTACCCTGAATTGGCTTCCATGAGTGGGAGTGGAGGTGTGGGTGTGGACTAGCGGGTGTGGTACCTGGACCAGCTATATTACTGGTCATAGAATCCTCAGGGTACTGCTCTGGCTGTGCTTAAAAGACATTTTGAGTTTAGTTTGCTATTCTTTTTTGGTGCGATGAGTGTTGTGGTTGTTATTTGGAAAATTCCTTTTTTGTTATTATGTACTTTGACGAACATCAAAAAACATTAACATTTCCCCCACATAAAGAACAGAAAAAGAAGATTGTATGGCATATGAAACTGAATTTATTGTTGTAGTCATTGTTAATAGGAATTGAGTTAGTGACTGGGATTACTTGAAAAATTTATTGAGAAAGATGCCTATTCAACTTAAGTTCCTTTCCCAGAGGCTGTTGGTGTTGGGTCAACCTTGTGCACTTGACCATATATGAGCCTAAGAAAATCTGGAGCAGTTCCAAGTTATCCTTGGTCTGAGAACACCAGCAAAGAACACATTTGTTCTTGGCTGATTCAGGGACTTGAGAGTTTATCCAGATAGCTAACCTGTGGTGACCAAGGCCTAGACTGAAATAGTTTCCTTAGTCTGAAAAACTCCACTAGGATTGTCCTATAGAAATAAGCTGAACTCTTAAGAGATGGCTAGGTAGCATTAGCTTCTCAACTCTCAGATTCATAGTCAACCTCATTCACACTTTGGTACAGAACATATATTATGTGTCATATAGTTGTTGGAATAAATAACCTGAAGGAGAAGTAGGTATAAAAAGGGTCTCAGAAATCATCTAGTCCTACACCCTCATTTCACAATTAAGGAAACAATACTGTTAATCTCTTTTATAAGAATGTAATGTTTAATATGTATTAAGGTCTAGAATTAGCTCCTTCTAAACCAGGCCTTTAAAGGGGTCATTAAATGGAAACATTTTTAATAAATATGCAAAAGATGTAAGATTTAATTATTAATACTAATTCATTAGTAAGATTATAAAAAATAAAACTCCAAAGCAATTTTTTCATCATGAATTCTATTCTTTGTAATTTGAGAACATAGCTTTTATTGTTGCAAATTTATTCTCTTAATAATTGGTTGTAACAGGATTTAAGGTGACTGGACTATTTATCTTTAATGAAAGTATTTAATCATTTTGTGTGTTTTTGGTATCACTAAATGTGCATATGGCAGGGTGGCTCTGCTTTCGCCCTTTTACTCTGTATCATCAAAGGAAATGTTTCTTTAAAAAAAAATTGATCTATATAGCTAGTACTGTCAATATACTCTTCACCATTGAATATTATTTGAGTACCTACTATAAATGGATGATTTGTTTTTTATGGCACCTCACACCTCTTGGGTTCTACCTATCGTATTAGGCATTTGGGATAAGACTATATATTTATAGTTTTAAAAGACAATACTATTCACAAAATACTACGGTACATTTAATCTCAACAGTTTTATTATGAGAGAAGTACTTTATAAACTTTAAAGTGACCCATATGTATGTGAGTTATTATTATTATCATTAGTGAGGCAATTAGGGTTAAGTGACTTGCCCAGGGTCACATAGCTAGTGAGTATCATGTGTCTGAGGCCGGATTTGAACTCAGGTCCTCCTGACTCGGGGGTCGGTGCTCTGTCCACTGTGCCACTAGCTGCCCTCGTAATTATTAAGATCTTTCATTGCAAGACAAATGAGTGGGGAAGGCACATAGAACAACATAACAAAGATTTTAACAAGTCACAGACTATACTGGGGAAAATGTTTTTCTCCCAAAGCAATAAACAGATCACATCACTACTTAAAACCGTTAGTTCCTTTCCCTTAATCTCTTACTTTTTCATCTGGATTTTGCCAGCAGAAAGAAATCACATAGTTCACAGAATGCTCCAATAGAACTTTAGGGAGAGTGTATATATTTGCAGAAGTCCCTATCAAATTTCAGGGTTCCTGTATCCTAAGGATGAAGGCATAAAATGAAGTTATAAACATTAGAGAAATTTGGAATAGTATTTCATTTGAGTATGAAACCATACTTTGTTAAATACAAAGTATGTAGATTTCTTAATTGTTTGGTGAAATCCTAAAACCAAATCTAATTATTGTTTTTACCAGTGGAAAGATTGCATAGATGTTACGTTGTTGGGCCTTTTACAGTATTCTTTGCCTCATGCTCCTTTCACTACAGATTTTTCTTTTACAAAAAAATTCTAGAGTTGCAGGGTTTTTGAGGTTAATGGTAGATTACTCTTTAGAGGTAGCCTCTCTGTAAGAGTTCGGTTGTACCTGAGGCAAGAACTGGTAGTGGTAAGTGTGAAGAGCTGTGAAATGATTGGATTTGAAGAACTATTATTACCTTGATGGTTTATGACTGGGTAATGAACTTGATAAAATAGTTCTAATTTATTTAAAACTACCCCATAATGAGTTCCTTTACTGTTTCCTCATCTTAAATGTTACGTGGTTACTTGTTTCTGAATAATTGTGGTCTTTCAGTCACAAGGCTAAAATTATTCCTCTCTATGTAGGAGCTTCCCTCTTCCTCCAATCCCCTTTTTGAAGCCCCTTTTGAGGTGTGAAATAATTTAGGCTTGTTCAGCTGAGTTTACATGTCAGTGATCACTAAACATCGAGTCCAGTATGTTCATTCCATCTGACAGAACTTTTAAGAAGAGTTGATATTAAGAGGTATAGTGGATAAAGAGCTGGCCTGGAAGCTAGGAAGATCTGATTATTCAAGGCCCATGGTTGTCTGACCCTGGGTAAGTTACTTAACCTCTTAGTGCTCTAGGCAACTCTCTAAGACTTAAAAGTCACAGACTAGGTACCTGCATTGGTACCATGATCTCCCTCACCTGAGAATTCCCTATACCATTTAAATCACAGGTCCAATCCCTATTGGAACTGATTAGGAACAAACTAGGTAACATATTTCACTGAAATTTTAGAGGGAGTCTAGGTGTTTTCATAGCTATTTATAAGAAGGTCAGGCTGAGTTGAAAGTCGTGTAAATCTTACACCAGAAATTGTTTCTGGCTCAAGAAGAAATTCCTGCTGACCTTGGCTCTTCTTTCCCATAACACTGTGTTACGGGTCTAAAGGATACCCCGCAGAAAAGAGCCTGTCACATACTCCTGGGAAACTTCAAAGAATGAACTGGGAAGAAAGTTGTTTCCATTATTCCTGCCTTCTCTTACAGATTTCCCTGGACGATGGGATCTAGTTACATCGAATTTTGTTTGGTGTTGCTAGAATTTTGATTTTTTTTTCCCCTTTTAGAAGGGAAGTATATCTTGAAACGAGAAACAAAAATAATTTCCCATAAATTAGGAATTTGCGTTGAAACTGTAATATGTGGCTTTGAAAGTTGCTTCAGAATCCTTCTAAGTTCTGTCTAGGGATATCATTAGGAGCGTTAATGACACTTTCCAGATGCTGGATTATGCCATCCTGTAAGAGAGCTCCTCAGGGGACTTGCTCATCATGGTTATGGAAGGTTATGGTTAGTTTGCAACAGCCTGCAATAATTGCACCATCTAGATCAAGAAAACCCAGAGTCCCATGACTTAGAGTTGAGAGCAACAGTGTTAGTAGACTCAGCAGCTGGCAGTATATCCAGCTCTCAAGGATTTAGATCAAACAAACAAAAGCATTAAGGTGGGTAGAGATAAAATTAGCAGAACAAAAGCGGTGGGGGAAGAGAATGGGAAGTAAAGTTCTTACTATGTGCCTTGCACAAAACGTAGTGGGTGTTTGATGAGTGTCATCTTTTCTTCTTGCTTCAAAATCGTTTTATCTTAAAAGAGACACATTGGCCCAAACCTTGGGTTAGTGTCTTTGTGGTTTTTCAACACTGGTTGCCTTAAATTGTATTTGTGGTTGCCCTGGGTGTTGATCAGAATATGTATGAAGTATATAATATTGTAGTTGCCTTATAAACAACATGTTTGAGAATGTTTTTTGCTTAATAGAGACATTGATTTTAAAACTGAAAGGAGACTTAGCAGTCATCCAGATTAATCCCTTATCTTACAGAAGAGAAAGTTGGGGCCTAGAAAGGTTAAAAGACTTATTCAAAGTCACATAAATAGAAAGGGATTTGTTGGAGCTGGGGTTTGAACCCAAGCCAGTACTGAATCAGTACTTTTTCAATTGCCTTAGATTGCATACATTATGAGGCTGAGGCAAATGTGGGAGACTGAGATTTAATATGAGGAGAGCCATTCATTATTATGGTATAGATTCGGTTTTGAGGGTTGAATGTGCACAGATTGTATATTATCTATCTTTAAAGTCAAAGAGTTCATCCTCATAGAATTAAAGATCCATCCCTGGGTGTGTTTTTTACTGCAGTAAGGTGTTCTGATGTCCTGGAAATATTCCAGGTAGTAATTATGTTTTCTTCCTAAATGCCTTATGTAGTTTGTAAGTACATAGTAAGTACTAATTCATTGCCCAGCTTTGTCATTGGCATTCTTTTGAGTCCTTCAGGTTCACTATATTCTTCACCTTTAATGAAACTCAAGTTCTCCAGCACCTGGAAATAAAATGGTAGGAATACTTTATGTTCCAGGAATTATCTCTGGACCCCTTTAAATAGATCACTAACAAAATTTCCTGGACTGATTTATTGGTCTTTTGAAAAGGCAGTGAACAGTAACCCAAAGTTTTAAAAACACATGTTAAAAAAAAATTTTTTTTTAAATTGAGAAGTCAAAAAAAAATGAGAATGAGATAACAGAAAAAAAAAAAGAAAAGGCAGTGAATTGTTGTTCTCCTTTGAGAAATCGTTAAGTTGTTTATCCATGTTTTATGTGTTTTCATATTCTTTAAACTTATCCTTTTGTTTTTTGCTACGTCTCTTGGCCCTACAGAGTGAGGGCTGTGTTCTGCAGACTCCGGCACCATGAACGTGTTTGATCGGAAGATCAACTTTGATGCGCTCTTAAAATTTTCCCACATGTAAGTGTTTTGACCTTGATGCTTTTTTCTTTGACCTAGTTCATTAACTGTCATATATATGCATAGCTAACAGACAAACTAATAAATCTTTCTAGGTATCAAAGAAGCCAGACTCCTCGCATTGTTGCAAAATCATCAGAAAGTCTTTTAACTATTTTAGCTTTGAGTGCCCCCATCTTTCGCATATCATGGATATCTAATTTTCAGGTGTTTTGTGGTTTGGCCTTTTTTCTTTGCTATTATCCATTTTTAAGAACATTGTCTTGAAATGTCTTAAAGAGTACATTGTATGGGGCAGCTAGGTGGCACAGTGGATAGAGCCCCGGCCCTGAAGTCAGGAGTTCAAATCCGGCCTCAGACCAAAACACTTGACACTTACTAGCTGTGTGACCCTGGGCAAGTCACTTAACCCCAATTGCCAAAAAAAAAAAAAAATTAAAAAAAAAAAAGAATACATTGTGTTTTCCTTGTAGCAGCTCAAAATACTCAAAGAACTTTCAGAATATGGGGAAGTTTTATGTGTAGGGGAAATGGATTGATTTTTCAGAATTTTCCTTCTTTTAATTTATTAATTCAAGAATAGCCTTAGTTCCTAGAGTGACAACTGTTATTTTCATTATCATTTAGCACACCTTCTACACAGCAGCACCTGAAGAAGGTCTATGCCAGTTTTGCCCTCTGCATGTTTGTGGCGGCTGCAGGGGCCTATGTCCATGTGGTCACCCGTTTCATTCAGGTAAGAACAATTAACTTGATTGCTGTAGAATTTAAGGAGCTTGCTCAATGCAGTGTCTCAAGCTAATGTCCAGTCCTTATCCTTATCAGTATCTAGGGTTATGAACTTCACCAGCCATCAAGTACAGGGCAATTAAGGAATAGTATGGCAACTATTTTGAGGGTATACCAAAACCAGAATGCCTTGACTCTTTAGCAGAGAATGGTCTGCTGCTGATATCTTAAGATAGCTGCTTACTGGTATAGAGACATAATAGTACATGCCATGATTCTCCTTAACATGTAGCCTTTTTGTTCTCTTTCTTCTTTCTCTCACCTGCACTTTCTCTGCCCAGGATGTCATGTGGTGAAGTCATAGAACATTTGAGTTGTAGGCACAGGGTGATTTGGATGATTTCGTGGCTTAAGTGTACTTTGGTTCTCAGAGTTGTGATATTCAGCAGATCTGAATAGGGAATTTCAGGAAATTCACTTTTCCATACTAGAGGAGAGTTGTAGGATGAGGGAGCACTGAAAATAGTGTCCAGAGAAAATGGGGTAAAAGTCAGGTGGTGCTGTGGAAAGAATACAGGAGTTAGAATTAGGAGACCTTACTTGGAATCCAGACCCTTACCTGAGCCACAGTTTCCTCATCTGTAAAATGAGGATAACTTTCTATCTAACTTAACAAGTCTGTTGTGAGGAAAGATTATAGATATGTCATAATATTTCTATATATGAATTATAATTAATAAGGAACCTGCTGTACCTTAGCTCTGTTTTGTTAGGAAAATGCAAGTAATAAGAGAATTATATCTTAGCACAAGTGAGCAGGAATTCCCAGATCGTCACGAGTTTTGTGAACAATGTCCTATGAATGCTTTTTGTATACCAGGAATAGGAATAGTTTTCAGGGCAAGGTTCTTGATCAGCCTCACCTCTAAGGAAGAATATTTCCCATATATCCATGGGGAGAGCCAATGGCAGCTGGGGACAGAGAGATAGAAACCAGAAAGGGCAGCTACTAGAGGTTCTTTCTGCATGGACATTTTATTACACGAAAATCATGAGTATCTTAACTTTGTGAGCATTTAGACTCAGTAGAGTCTCTTGTAAAGAAACTCTTCTTGTCCTTCAAGTACTTAATTGCTTGTTTGACTCTTGACAGGCTGGCTTGCTTTCAGCCTTGGGTTCTTTGGGATTGATGATATGGCTGATGGCAACACCACACAGTCATGAAACTGAGCAGAAGAGACTGGGCCTTCTGGCTGGATTTGCTTTCCTTACAGGTAAGTGAAGTGGCTGAATTCATCCTGAGAGGTTATATTTTTGATATCCTTTAAAATGTGAAAGTGCTCTGAGCTGTGTTTATTCTGTTCCTATTTCCTTTACCTGAAGAGAAATGTGGAGTTGAAAGAGATTTGAATTAGTCCTGAGTTCTGTCTACTCCTTTCTTCTACCACTTAATAGCTATGTGATTGTAGGCAAATTAATTAACTTTTCTGAGTTTGTGTACTTATTCACAAAACAAGGCTAGTTATGTCTACTTCATAGAGTTTTTTTCAAAGATCAGATAAGAAAAAGCATTTTTTAACTGTAAAAAGATATATGAATGAGAATTATCATGCCTGACATTTAGTCCACCTTGTTATGAGCCCTTTTCAGACTTTTAAAGACTTACAATTAGATTTTAAAAATCCTCCCACCCTATTTTCTGCTGCCTCTCTCCCATTGTACATTGTAGCTCCTAGTTGTTTGGAGGCAAATCTGTGTCTAATCAAATCAGCCCCCCCCCCAAATGTTATTGACTTAAAAACCTAACCAAGGCAGTTGGATGAAAAAGAGGTAGACTTAATTATGTTTGTTTAGGTCAGCTGTCTGATTTCTTTAATGTTTATTTGCATATCTCCTACTGGGAATTGGCCCTGTGGGTTAGAGGTGCCTTTTCAATAACTGAAGGTTAATATTGGATTATGGGATATTTTTTTTTAATGTTTTTATGTTTTTGCTTTTTGGTGAGACAGTTGGGGTTAAGTGACTTGCCCAGGGTCGCACAGCTAGCAAGTGTCAAGTGTCTGAGGTCACATTTGAACTCAAGTGCTTATTTTTTATTTTTTTAGGAGTTGGTTTGGGCCCTGCCCTGGACTTATGCATTGCTATCAACCCCAGGTAAGTGACCTTAGAGTTTTTAATCTGTTAGCCTTTATATACCTACTACCAATCTGGCCATTCTCAATCTCACCCTTTTCTTTTGTAGCATTATTCCTACCTCCTTCCTTGGCACAGCAATGATCTTCAGCTGCTTCACCTTGAGTGCACTCTATGCTAGGCGTCGCAGCTACCTCTTCCTAGGAGGTGAGGAAGCTCTAAAAAGTTGGGAGGGTTTCCCTTGCTCTGTATTGAGGCCTCAATATGACAAATCTCACCCTCCCCCCATCCTTTTTCACATGTTGAGGATCCTTAATTGGGTTTGACTTAGAGGCTGCCTTGTATCTTCACCATTTTTGGAAAAGGAAGGGATGGCTCTAATAGGGTGTTCAGGTGTTTCTCAAAAGTAGCTTTTTACCACCTGTTGTAGGTATCTTGATGTCAGCCATGAGCCTGATGCTGTTTTCCTCCCTTGGAAACCTCTTCTTTGGATCTTTTTGGCTGTTCCAGGTAAATCATTTACATGTGGAATGAAATAACAATATTCTAATTTTGACTTTGAACTGAAAGGCTTTAGGACTAATACAGTGTTAGTTTGTTCTTTTCTTCTCCAGTAAACCAGACTAATAGTCTTTTCAGGTGTAATCCCTACTGGATTGTAAACTTTCAGAGCAGGGAGTACTGTTTTTTATTTTTATATTCTTCCTAGTACCCTAACATAGTGTCTGGGACATTGCTGTAGGCATTTAAGTATTTAATTTTAGTTGAACTAAATCTTTATGAGTGACCCTTTACATCACCAGTGTAATGTCCTCTAAGTTAAATATCTCGAGATTCAAAGATTCATTGAATGTAGAACTGTAAGGACCTTAGATGTAGGTAAGCTGTTCTTTTATTCCAGTGATCCAATTAAGTTTACAGAATTATGTCCCAAAAAGATCATAATCTACTTTATAGTTTTCACTGCCCCCTAATGTTGGTATTAGTTAGAAATATTAGCATTTATTAGTTACTATTGAGGGTTTCTTCAAATGTTTTAAAGCCATAAATAAGTCCATTGTGCTCTAGGGAAAGCTTCAATAGCACATACTATATCAGGTAAAAGGTCTCTGAATTCTCTTGTCTTTCCTTCTTTTTAAGGTGTCTTCAGCGCAGCACATGTTGATTGCATGGTAACAATGTTCCTATTCCTTTTCCATTAGGCGAATCTGTATGTGGGACTTGTGGTCATGTGTGGCTTTGTCCTTTTTGATACTCAACTCATAATTGAAAAAGCTGAGAATGGAGATAAGGATTATATCTGGTAAGTGTGAGGACATCAGGTTGAATTGTCATTTTCGTTGGTGTGAAGGTGTGAAGGGTATGACTGACATTCCATTCTTGTTATCCCTTCCCATCCACCAAGAAGATCTGGACCCTTTGGGTGGCCTTAAATCTAACCTGACTTTCTTCTGGATTAGAAAAGGTCAGACCCTCAAAGTAGCACTAGCTTTTCAGTGCTGACTTAGACCTGGAAGTACAGGAGAAGGGATAATTAGCATGGAGCAAGCCTCGTGTGTTCATGGCATATTACCACAGCTTTCGTCCCTTAGAGACACCAGAATATTAACTGACTGGTAGAGCATGTTAGAAGCCGAGGCCTATAAGGAAAAAAGGATTCCAGATTGTTTTGTTGTGTGGCCTTTGGGACTAAGCAGAATAGTGTATTGACTTTTTGGCCTGGTTTCTCTCTCCCAGGCACTGTGTTGACCTCTTCCTGGATTTTGTCACCCTCTTCCGGAAACTCATGATGATCCTAGCAATGAACGAAAAGGTAAGTCAACTCTGTTGTCCGGGACTGAAGACAGAATACCCTTCTAATAAGGCATCACCTTACTTGCATCTTGAAAACCTTTCATTTGAAAGCATTTATTATGGGCCATGGGTAATGCTGGGGAGGTATTATATCATGTCTAGTATGGAGGATGAACCAGATGGTGGAAAGGAGGCGTTTTCTAATAATGATGACCTGAAGTCAGAACAGAAAGTGCACATTTCAGTAGCAGGAAGTGAAAGTTCAGACATGAAAACATGTAATATTTGTGAAAATAGTTATTGCTTAGAAAACATTTGCTAGTGACTGAGAGTAAATAATGAACCAGCGCATACAAGCTTGCTGTTAGTCAACAGTCTTTATATCGAATATATGATGAAAAATACCAATGGAATGGATGACGCAAGTGAAGGAGTGAAATGACTTCTTAATGCCTGTTCTGTCTAGCATTCTGGCTAATGAGATGCAATTGAACAAGACCAAGGTAGCCCTGGAAGGTTGAAGGCCTTGTTCTACATTTGAGCTCTTACAAAGTACAGAAGGAGCATGACCAAGAAGCTTAGATTTTTACTAGTAATCAGTGCTGCTTTGATGGCATCGTGCTCAGCGAGGCACAACTGCCATGTGGCCTGTCCTTGGAGGAGTTCATGTCCTTTGCTTTGGATTGAGTCATTTTCACTGAACTAAAACACTGACCACGCCTGTTAGAAAATCAGATTTGTATTAAAGTGTGAACTCTTGAACTCTAATACTCTGATTTTTTTTTTTTTTCAAATGAAGTTGAACTAGAGTTATGGTTATTAAGGGTTTTTTTCTGAGTGAAACACTGAGCAAACACTTGGAGCACTTACTACTTTTTATTTAATAATAATTACTTATTGCTGGTGGTTATCTTTAACCTCCCTGAGTTTACTTTCAGGAGCATCTGAGTTAGATGCAGTAATGGGGGTTGGGGGTTGGTAGCCTAAGTACTGTGTAACGTCTGGGAGTGTAGTTTGGGTCTGTATGTGTAAGGTCTGTCTAACACAGTAGTTCCGTATAAGGTCTGGGAATTTAGTTTGGGTTGACTGACTCTGTGATTCTCTCCTTTTAGGACAAGAAGAAAGAGAAGAAGTAAGACAGCTGTTCAGCCTTTCCCTCTTTGGCTCCCTTCCCTCATCCTCTCATTTTCTCTTTGCACACATTACAGGTGGCGTGTTCTGTGATAATGAAAAGCATCAGAAAAGCTTTTGTACTTTGTGGTTTTCTCTGTTTTGAGTTTTTTTTTTTTAATCGGAAAACTGATTAGCAGATTCTAATTTGGAGTTTGGCTTCATGTTCCCTGGGATTCCATATCTCTCCTTTGTCCTTCGGCAGTCAGTCCCTGGTATGTGAAGAGTAACTGCAACCAAGCAGGAGGAGCAAGTTCCAGGAGTCTTCTTGATGACAGTACTTTATTGGTGGATTTGAAATTTTTCCTTGCAAAGCCTCCTCTTCTCACTTAGCATTATTTGGGTTTAATAACCATTCCTGTGGGTGGGAGATAAAGGCAGTGTGTGTTTTACAAGTTGAATAGAAACTTCCTTGGACAATAGAGATTTCTGAAACCCATAGCTCCTGTGTTTAGTTCTATTTGGACTTGAGTTTCTGCCAATTCTTTAAGAGATTTGCAAACTAAGTGAACTGGTCTTTCTACTTTGAAAGAAGCTTTTTGGAAGGCACTTGTACCTCCTCTGAGCCTTGTTGAATCACTGCCAGTCTGGCATACACACCATCTTGCCCCTTCTTCTCAAGAAGTCCTGGTTGATGGATGTTCCACTAGCTCCTTGCCTGGCCCTAATTCAGGGATCTGTCCACTCAGATCCATTTGAGTAGGAGAGTTTTCAGCATGTATATAAATATTAGTTTTATGGGACAACTGCAACTCATAAAAGAAACCTTATGCATGTCAAATGGGATAATGTTGGATTCTCTAAACTTCCCCTAGATACTTCCTCTCAGAAGTGTAACTCAGTCTTAGTTGCCGAGTAGCCCTCTCTGAGTTGACTGTCATTAGAATGCCCAAAGTATCTGGGAGTTGGGCCTCGGGAAGGCTGAAATTCATGGTGAGCACTATGGAATTGTTTCTGATGGAACTTGCCAGCTCACCTCTGAACAGCTCTGTGGGCTAGAGCATGGTAGAACCACCCTTCCATTCAGAGGCTCTTTGTCTGACTCACCAGGATTAGAGCTGCTGTGATGGCTTGAGTGGCAGAGTTCTTAGTTCCATACCATCTGGTCCATTCCATAGCTAAATATCTGTAAGCAGTGCTAGAGCAGTGTCTTAAGTCAGCAAGTTCATTTCTGTCAGATGATTCCTAGCTCCTGTTCTGTTGCCTGTTTTACAGAAATTCAGCTCTGGAATGGCAACCTGTTTTCATGTAGGCATTGCTCACCTGACCAAACCTACAAATGACCCTTATCGCTATGCCACCTTACCCTGGTTGTAAATATGTGGAGAATGCTAATAGAGACCACCATGCCAGTATCCACATTTTCAACCAGAGTCAGATGGCATACAAATGAAGGTGGAATCCCAGATGACCATGGCTCTAAGAATAGTTGTGAGGCTGTACTGCAGGAGGGGATGGAATTACTTTAGAGCTTATTGCCAGCAGCTTTCTGTTTTTTGGCTCTTCCTTCCCCTTGACAGTACTGTTTGAGAGCACTGCTGCTGGTGTTGTGAGCTTGGTCTCCTGCAGTACAGTACTGCTTTGTTTTGGGGAAGCATTTACTCCTAGACCTGTGGCATTCAGTATAGCTCTGTCTTCTGTAGGTGGTTGACCCTTGATTGAATGGTTGCTTCTAATCCCAGGGTACCAGACCTAGGTAGGACTATTTCTCCCTGTCGTATCCCCCAGCAGCCTTTTGTCCACGTATTTGATGTTGCTCTACCCTTGCTAAGAATTTGACTGTGTTAATGTCTCCTGAAGCCAAATTCCACCTTTTGTGCTTTTTGCTTGGGATAAAAGTTTTTCTTTAGAAACAGTGCCAAGAATGACAAGGAAAAAAATTCTACTTTTAAAGAGAATGCCTAACAGGTTTTTAATACAGTAATCACTGTAACTATCACTTTCTTTTCTAGTTTCTTGGTTTTCAGCTCAGGCTGCATTCTATAACTCATACTGTGAAGACAAAGGTGTTTTTGATTCAGAAATATATGAAATCTACAAAGTCTTAATTTGTAAAAAATAAAAAAAAAATCCTCCATCTTTCTTGGTGCTTTGTGTATATGTATATTTGAGATATTGAGGTATTGCTTAACAACAGACTCCCTGTCTTTCCTAGCAAGGTGCTAGGCTCTTGTGTCCTGTTGGCCTGGTAGCCTGCAGGCATGTGCAGTCAAGAAGGAATTTTCCCCTCTGGGAGAATTTTGTCATGAAACCAAGTTCACCCCAGCACACAAGAGCAAAGGAACAGTTCCCTCAGAAGATTGACAGCTTTTGTAGGCAGGTTTCTCGTTCTTTGGTGGGTTTCAGATGAATTCCTCATTGTTATTAGCTGACATTTTAATTTTTTCATTGGTGTAGGAAACTCTGTCACTGCATTATGCATCTGCTCTGCAACTTGTAGAGCCATATCTGAGACTCTGAGGCAAAGGGACTTGCCCAGGGTCACGTAACTGGTATGTGTCCAATGACTCCTAATAGAAAACACTTTACACACATTAACTTCATTTGAGTCTTGCAACAGTCCTATGAGGTGTGTACTAAAGGACCTACCACCCAAGAATAAAAAGTGAGCAACTGAGCTTTCCCTGTTTTTTCCTCTATCCCTGCCTTCTATGTTAGCCTTTTCTCTCACTTGTAGCAGCCTGTCACATAGCCAGTTCCAGAAAGGTGTCTCCCATGGATGTTAACATCACACAAGACTACTTGATTAATGCAACCACAGAGAACTGGTTAACGTCGCTCTAATAAAATCAAGCAAGGGAAGAAGCAAGAAGATGGATTCTTGCTGCCCTCCAGCTACTCTGTTGTGAATAACATTTGCTTGATTGCATCAAGCCTTAGAATATTGCAAAGCCTTCTTTATAAGATTCAGAATTTCTCGAGTTTGGCTTGACCACATAAGAAAACTAAGTAGATTAAAAAAAAATGCTTTTCTTTAGCATGCAACCTCAATATGTATGTTACGTGCATACTACTGTACTGATAATTATGTACGTTATAAGACAAATAGAAATTTAAGAAAGACAAGATAAAGATGAAATCATTTGATTCTAAAATTGATAGGGAGCTTCTGAACTTTGAGTAGGGGAGTGATTGAAGGTCAAGTCCTACACTTTAGGAAAACAATTTTGGCATCTTTGTGGAGAATGCATAGGAGAGGGTAGGGAAAATGTAGATGTGGCAACCTTTGGTCACTAATTGGCTATGTGGGATTAGGTAAAATAGTTGAAGACAGTAAAGTTGTAAGCTTCCTTGACTGGACTTAGGAATTTGAGAGTTGGAAAACATCACAGGCATCTTTATCGTGTGCATGTCCAACCTGTGCATAAGAGGTATCCCTGTTACAACATTCCTGACAAGTGGTCTTCTAGTCTCAGATTGAAGGCCACTAAGGAGGAAGAACCCACAATATCTCAAAATAATCCCATTCCACTTTTGAACATCTCTCATTGTTAGGAAGTTTTGTCTGACTGAGCCTAAATATGCCTTTGCAGCCTTTACCCATGGTTTCAGCAGGACCCCTAAGAGGACAAGCTTCAGTGTGGTGAGGAATAAGAGCCTGACAGCCATCCTCTCATTTTTGCACGGGACAGAATGAGTCTCACAGCAGGCATGAGTGTGTTGTCATCATTGTTACAGAATTCACTAAATTATCTTTTTTTTTACATGTGCTATATATTTTTTTATTAATTTATTTTAATTTATCAACAATCACTTCCATATGCTTTTGAGTTTAAAATTTTTCTCCCCCTTCCTCCTAACCACCCTCCCCAAGATGGCGCATATTCTGATATAGGCTATACACATACATTCCTTTTAAACATATTTTCATATTAGTGATGTTGTAAGGAAGAATTAGAACCAATAGGAGGAACCACCAAAAAAAGAAACAAAGCTCAACAGAAGAGAAAAAAAAACAGCAAATAGTACGCTTCGATCTACATTCAAATTCCATAGTTCTTTCTTTGGATGTGGATAGCATTTTCCATCATGAGGCCTTTGGAGATGTCTTAGATCCTGTGTTGCTGGGAAGGGTTAAGTTTATCAATATTAGTCATTGCACAACGTGGCTGTTATTGTGTACAACGTTCTCTTGGTTCTGCTCACTTCACTCAGCATCAGATCATACAAGTCTTTCCAAGTTTTTCTGAAGTCGGTTTGTTCATCATTTCTTATAGCACGGTAGTATTCCATCACATTCATATACCACAACTTGCTCAGCCATTCCCCAATTGATGGACATCCTCTCAATTTCCGATTCTTTGCCACCACAAAAAGAGCTGCTGTAAATATTTCTGTACATGTGGGTCCTTTTCCCGCTTGTATGATCTCTTTGGGATATAGCCCTAGGAGTGCTGTTGCTGGGTCAAAGGGTATGCACATTTTGATAGCCCTTTGGCCGTAGTTCCAAATTGCTCTCCAAAATGGCTGGATCAGTTCACAACTCCACCAACAATGCATTAGTGTTCCAATTTTCCCACATCTCTAACATTTATCATTTTCTTGTTTTGTCTCATTACATTATCTTTCACCCCAAAACCACCTCTTTGAAACTCTTTTTTCTATAAAGAACATCACCATCTTTCCAGTCACCCAAACCAAAGAGGTTTACAGCCTTTTTGCTATCTCCTACTACTTACTTCCCTTCACCTCACATACTCAATCTTATTTGCCAAATCTTGTTTCTATTTCCAAAACGTCTTTGTCTTCTCTCTGTTCACGTCACTACCCTTATTCAAGTTCTTGTCGTCTCTCCTGGATTATTGCAGTAACCTTCAAACTAGTCTCCCTGCCAAAGTGCTTTTCCTAAAGTGGAGCTCTAGCCATGTTGCTCTCCTCATTAAATTCCATAGCTTCCTCTTGACTAGGATTAAGTGTTTGTCATCTCAAAATTTTTAAATGTCTGTTTTTGTCTCTTACAATGTACATAATTATTAGTATAGTAGTATATAATTTATAAATAAGCAAATATCGGGGGGATATGCTAAAAAATAGGATTAGTATTAGGATTATGTAATTGAAAGTTTGGAGAACATTGGTCCATGCTTCTGTAATTGGCTTATAACTGCTTTGTCAGTACATATCTTGGAAAGAAGTTGCACATGGATGTTGAACTAGTCCCAGAAATGAACAGGGGGAAAAGAGGAGGCTGGATTGTATTTCAGAAATCATCTAACATTTTGCTACCTCAGGCTTCTCCCTGAAACTAAATACCTCTTCTAACATTAGCTATGTGACCATAGGCAAGTCACTTCATCACTTAAAGCTGGACTGTTACTTCTACCCCAAGGATCTCTTAGTATGTGCACATAAGGTGACACACAGCCCACCAGTGTCAAATTGTAATTACATTTTAGTATTTCTCATCTACCTCTAGTAAATGGTATTAAAGGTACTAAAGA